TGGACACTTTGGGGCACTTTGAGGACACTTTGGAGACACTTTGGGGATATTTTAGGGACATTTTGACGACACTTTGGGGTCACTTTGGGGACGCTTTGATGACACTTTGGGGACACTTTCAGGATATTTTAGGGACACTTTGGGGCCACTTGTGGTGCCTGACCTGTGGAAGTGTTCGGGCAGCAGGTTTGGGGACACTTTGGGGCCATTTTGGGGACACTTTGGGGACAGTTTGGGGCCACTTTGGGGACATTTTAGGGACACTTTGGGCCATTTTGGGTGACTGACCTGTGGAAGTGTTCTGGCAGCAGGTTTGGGGACACTTTGGGGACATTTTGGGGCCACTTTGGGGTCACTGACCTATGGAAGTGTTCTGGCAGCAGGTTTGGGGACATTTTAGGGACACTTTGGGCCATTTTGGGTGACTGACCTGTGGAAGTGTTCTGGCAGCAGGTTTGGGGACACTGGGGACATTTTGGGGACATTTGGGGACACTTTGGGCCATTTGTGGTGCCTGACCTGTGGAAGTGTTTGGGCAGCAGGTTTGGGGACACTTTGGGGACAGTTTGGGGTCACTTTGGGGTCATTTGGGGATATTTTAGGGACACTTTAAGGACACTTTGGGGACATTTTAAGGGACACTTTAGGAACATTTGAGGTCACTTTGGAGTCACTTTGGGGACATTTGGGGATATTTTGGAGACACTTTGGGGACACTCTGGGGACATTTTGGGGCACTTTTGGGGACACTTTTTGGGGGCACTTTGAGGACACTTTGGGGGCACTTTGAGGACATTTTGGGGACACTTTGGGGATATTTTAGGGACACTTTGGGGACATTTTGGGGACACTTTTGAGTCACTGACCTGTGGAAGTGTTCTGGCAGCAGGTTTGGTCCCACCCCCAGCGCCTCCAGCACCTCCCGGCGCAGCCGAAGGAGCCGCTCGGAATCCTCGGAGCCGCTCCCGGGACAAGGATCCCGACCCTGCTCCGAGCGGAACCGCAGCAAAACTGTGGGAAAAATGGGAAAAATGGGAATTACAGAGGGAATGGGAATGTTGGGATCCCCA